TAGTTGGTGACTCCAAGTGAGAAAAAAAGCTGTATGGTGGTCCTCAGCTTTTAGGCGAAAACTGACTTAAATCACAGGGTAAATTCTCCGTTGAGAAATTCGCAAGAATCTTCACACAACCAAAAAATCACAAGTGGCTCAAAAGGAAGAATAATTCTTACGAGTGGACCCCCTCAGAGAGGTCACTACTTAAGCAGAAACGCTATGTGAATTGCGTGACTGAATGGCGCTATATCCTGTCCAAGTGTGATTAACCATACGATGAGATTCCCTCGGGTTAGTCTTCAACTACCAGCTGGTAGGTCACGAGTTCGCGAGATTCACTGCAAAAATTTAACATCTGTATAGTAAGTTTCGAATTTTTATGCACAAATAAACTTCATTTCTAGGACGGGACCCGGTTGAAAACTTCTGAATCTTTTCACAATACCAACAAACTGTGGGATTTGCCTAGATTACCAGTGCGTTCAGATAATTGCGTTGCGTCTCCATGTTCATATGTAAATGGCCTCAAGATTGGCTTTTATACTACCTTGACAACGGCAGAAACAGTTTATGGGAGACTGACCTCCGGCCCAGTCAGGTTCCTGTTTGATTTGACCACCCGAATGTTTACCGTAACCTGATGGTTTTCGTTGATATCCTTGCACCACAAAGTCAAAAACACAATCCGAACATGTAAAAGTAACGTTCACTAACAAATTTGGTTTACGGGTTCTCCATCAGCATCACTAATCAGCGGGGCTTCCAAGTTCTAAAAAGTGCTAAAGTTGATAAAACTGATACAACTACATGGGAGGAATCCGGCGCTTTCCTTCGGAGCCCGTGTTGATTGATACGTCATTCCATTGCCAATGTTCAACCAGATTCCGCTTCACACACGCTGTGAATGAAAAGTACCGAACGTAGCCTCATTTTAATGACCTTTCCACATTTACGGTGATCACTTGATATATTTATGACGGTTCTGACAAGGTAAGCGATAACCCGAGGCGCTGCGAGTTTCCTTCCTAAAGTTTGGAGATAAACTCTTGGCTACTGAAATTGGCCCAGTAGTGACGCGTAAATGTCGTTTTATATATTGTGCCCCTCTAGCATATGACGCTTCGACTGGATGTGCTGCACCGGGCCGCCTAACGTTTCACTTGGTATTTGTCGAAATCCATCCTCTTTGGGTTCAAGTGGAACATCAAACTCAAGGAACAATCAGCGACCAGGTCTACTAAATGAGGAGCCCTGAGAAGGGCGAAACCGGTCGTGGGCTGTCGAAAAGTCAAGCGACCTTATGAATAGGGTTACGTCTAGAAGCCAAGTACGTGGGCTGTCGAAAAGTCAAGCGACCTTATGAATAGTGTTACGTCTAGACAGCCAAGTATTGTGACATCTTGAACATAAAGCAGCGGAGTGCGGCACATTCAGCTGAAGAGGACCATCATAAACTAGAGATTCAGCCGGAATAAACTGAGTCTTTTATGAAAACCAGATTCGCTTGAAAATTAGAGTATTTCTGGAAACTTTCAGCTAGTCATCAGTTCGTATCGTGCGTACGATCCCAACAGCTTTTAATTGGAATGCGTACAACTATGACAGTAGCGTCTGAGGTAAATTACGTTGAAACTCATCGTACAGGATCAAAGTGCTAAAAACTCACTGTAAAATACGAGTCCCCGAGAGTCGCTTCTAGTGTTGTGTTAAGTTTGACATTTAACATTCGCTATCCGAAGGCGAAGTGCCCTGCTAGCGTAAAGGAACAAAACACGTTTATGATCATCGGTCAGATGACCAAGCCCTCCACAGCCATCTGAGGGGACGCAAGAATGAATTCATGTGACGAATCTTATCGTGGTCTGGCCATAACTTTCTTAGGAAGGCATACAGTATACTTTCAGGATACGTACTGTGCAGTCGACGAACCTGTCAATGAACCAAGTCGCCAGCTCCATCCTGTTTAGAGACCGCTTCGTCAGTAGGGAACACACCACTTCTAGCCTTACGCCAACATCGAGATGCGCACTAAAGTTGAGCGATTCGCTGCGTCAGTCAGCACAGCACAGTCACAGCACTCATCTCGGTAGCTCTCACTACCGCTAGCCTGTTGCCAGAGTACTTTTTGCCAGAAATGGAGTGGTTCGAAACCCTGAGTTCGGTGAGATCAACACTGTTAATCATTCCCAACAAGGATGAGATAGCTGTCCAGTGCTTCCTTACTTCTTAGCGTACATTGGCTTCGCTGACAGGATGAAATCTTTATTGAATATAACCCAATCTTCACATATTACCATAGGTCAATAGGCAGCTCAGAGGAAGGATTATTACACTGGCTCTGGAACTTCCTCCTGAGAGGTCGTCACTCGGGGAGCCAGTCAATACATGACCACCTGATGTGGTTACCCTTATTGAAGGATGAATGGCGTTACGCCCTGTCTAAGTGAGAGCCAATCCCCCGGCTAATCAGCCATTCGCAACCAAACGGCTAGGTGTTCAACCAATGGCCGGAAGGCCGCGGGTTCGTGAGATGCGCACTGCTGACGCTTTCCAACAAGGATGAAACAGCTGTATAGTGCCCTCTTTGGCTTTTCAGCGTCGATTGGTTTCACGTAATTTGATAGACGGTAGTTGGGCATACTGAGTAATTATTCTAAACTGATCAGTTTTCCACTTGCTCTGACTTAGCGGTTAGGAGTTTGTGCACCATTTCGATACGAGAACATTGTAGCCAGCCAGTACTCGCTATGTTCTGAATGATGCAGCGACCAAACGTTAGGTGTTTAGGATGGTCGGATCGAGGGGTGACGTTTCGTAACAACAGAGTAAAACTGCTCCTTTAAAAGTCTTCTGTACACGACCCTCTAGCACCAACGAAATTCAGTCCTGACAGCGTAAATGACAGGCTCAAAATGTTGTTCACGCCACGATAATCCGTTCATTAGCTTCAGCTGTTGGAGTGCAACCACGGCTCACAGAATTGCTCAGATGCACAAGCCCGTCTACAAACTCAAGCTTCTCTCCTTGAAGTTTCGGAGAACGCGCGACAGCCAGATGATCTGGTTTACACATAAAATCTGGACAACGAAGAAAAAGATGGAATCAAGACAACCCGAAACCCCTTAGGAGCCGTATTCCTCCTCCTGGATCTGTCGAGGTTTTCCGGGTATACTTGAACACACTGAATTCGAAGCAGTTAGTGAAAAATGCAGCAAAGACGGATATTTGTGTGTGAAAATTTTTTATTCGCCGGTTTTATAGATTTTAAACAATGAGTTTTTCCCAGGGCTATTCAGTCTACAGACTGGAAGTTGGGGAAATCTCCAGAATGCATTGGGTTCTCAGACTTGCCTTATACATTACCCGACCAAAGAAACAGTGGGCTTAAAACTATGGTAATAGTCAATTTGAATTGTGTTAGGATATTCCTGTTGAATAACTATTTTACTGAACCTACCCGATGAGAATGAGGGTAAGTACACAAAACGGGCGTAAGGTAAAACTCAGGATGGAACCCCCCGCGGTGTACTCATCACGGCTGAATTTCAACACAACTGCAGGAACTCGGGTGCTGAGAGTAATACGACCAAATCCACTTTGAACTCTTGCATCTGGACAGATATGATTTGTGAATACAAAGCCAAATACTATGAGTGGTACTTTGTGCTGCAGATGTTAGCGACTCAGAGATGTCACGAATGCAAGTTCAGTTGGTTTAGGTAGACCGTAAAAGATAGTATTTTCATCTTCCGCTGCAAACATTGTCGACCTCTCTCTCATTGTCCGTACCGTTTGTATGTAGTTCGCTCTGTATCAGTTAGAGGTAAAAGGGGAACAATCTCCAAATCTAAGGGACAATCCGTGAGGATTGTAAGGTTTAGGAGAACAGTTTCACAATGTGTCCGGATATTTACATACGTCCTCAAATCATTGCAACATTACGTGATGAACAATGGTCTCCACGTTTCTTGGTTACGATGCAGGTTAAACGTTCCAAATCGCCTAATTTCAATAGATCGACTGACCAGGCCCGCTTAATGTCCCGACAAACAAACCGTCCATTTCAAACAGCTGCATCAGACAACTGGTGATGGCATGGTCTGGAATTTTGATAAAGTAAGCTTCACGCGTCTCTACGAAATCTGCTGACACATGTACACAAATGTTGGTCCATCACTTACGTCAGAGTTCAATGTACATTGCACACCGTTTCCACTGAAAAACAAAGGAATGTCCCAATTGACAGTAGCAGGAATTCAGTAGATATTGACGTCAGACAAGACTGGGTGGGATCAAAACCCACACCTCATGCTTGCAGGTGAACCAATCGGCGGGCCAGATAAATTTATTTACCTACGCAGCTGTATAAGTTCCGGTAGCCTGACTGGAGATGAGATCATTTCTCGAATCAGAAAGGCTTTTGCCAACCTCCGACACCTATAGCGTCGACGTGACGGAGTTTGTTTGTCAAGGGAAGAGTCTACACTACGGTGTTGTGATCCATACTGCTTTATGGATTAGAGAAGTGGCCCCTACGCGCACAGGACCTACGGAAGATGTCAGTGTTTGATCATCGGTGTATCCGAAGCATTGGTCAGGTGTGGTGGGAACTTCGAATCAGTAATGATGAGGTACGCCAGATGGTCTTAGGACGAAGGAACTCTCCCGCGATAGATGAATTACTCACGCTTCATAGGCTGCGCTGGTTGGGACATTTACTCCACATGCCAGAAGAGCGTCTGCCTCACAGAGCTCTTTGTGCCCAGCCTTGTGCTGAGTGGAAGCGACCGAGTGGTGGGCAGTGTATGACCTGGCAACGAAGTATGAAAACACTAGCTAGCAGATTTAGTCGGGTTGGCAACTGCCGCCTCCCTGGATGGAGACCCCGGGACTTAAATCACCAGTAGTTAGTGACATTGGCAAAAGTGGCCCAATCGCGCAGTCAGTGGCGTTCGTGCACCAAAGTTATCGCCTTCACCACGTAGCTATCCAATTTCCGAACAAACTGAACATACCTTCGCCTCCCAGGCTTGGTCGTACGTCCCACTTTCCCGTTTTTCGGCCATCGAATTAGGAACCAACGTGCTTACGGTACACTGTTTAAAGCTGATAAATTGAATTAAATTGAATCATACCTTCCAGATGTTCAACAACATCGTCGTCCGCGGTTCAGACGGTTCAGCAACAAACGATTGAGGAACTTACTAGGTTATCGGGTCAACGCGATGTCGCCAGATTTGCGCCTGACCGTCCCCAACCCAATATATGAGCAGATCGCAAAAAAATCTGGGTGAACTCGGCATTTCGGTTTGAGGTGTTGTGTACTCTTTGAAGATAGTAATTTGCCCTAGGGACTCAGACATGCTCACTGCGTAGGAATTACCCAGTTCTTACAACATTCTAACTCACTTCCACAGCGAACAGAGACGGTGGAACATGAAAATCAAGACAAAGAGGATACTTGTTGGTTACTGATCAGGTATGTCTACCTTTGAAATCACAAAAAGCTATTTACAGTCGTCATATCAATATTCATCAAGGGTTAAAGCCTTCGAATCGAGGATGACATTGCGGAACCCGTCAATCCCGCTTTTCTCTTGCGCGCTCCCGTATTTGGCCCAGGTGAAGGGATCTGTCTGACATCGCTAGTGGCGTCTGCACTGAACGTCTCAATAAGAACCACGGGATCACTCAGCGTCGTGGGTTCGGCCACTTGAGTACAGTTCGTACAAAGCCATTGTTGAGGATTTGTGCCACGCGATGAGAGCACTGGAGGCTGATGGCACAATTGATGGTAGAGAGCACCACATTGGCAACATTCAACCAGAACGTTAGAACTCATGGTTTTCCCGTCAGGTTCGAGCTGCGGTTGTGGCGTAATTTTGCCGCACACGCAGCACGTAAGATCGGCCACCAGACTAGCGACGAAATGTGCGTCCGCCGGACCGGCTAACTTGTCCTGAGTGGTCGACGAGGATGACGATGATCCAGCAGCCTGTGTAACGGATTCAGTGACAGTCAAATCTATCGCAGTGGTATTTAAACTGCCCGGCATTGAAGAAACAGTATGACAGGACTGGGATACATCGGTTGTTGTGGTGGTGGTGTTAGCAGGAACAAGGACGTCCACCGGTCTCACAGCACTCTGGTAGGAAGGACCTATGGAAACGAATTGGAATAGGGATGCAAAAATGTGACGGTTGGATGCAGAGGCCTTGGTTAGTAAAACGGGAAGACGATGAGGTTGAAAGAAAACAACGAAATAACAGTTTTCATGCAGACAACTGAGCACTCAAAAAAGTGCACCCGAATGGTCAAGGTCATGTTATGGAGAGCACAAAACTCTCCCAAGACTAACGGACCTGGCTTGCCCAAAATAATCAGCGTGCTCTTCTCCGGTTGTGCGGCAATGGAGCACTTCTCGACGGTAGTGACGCTGAAAATAATGGTGCACGGGTCCGAGGTTGAAACAGAATGCCCACCTAAACTAGGCTTAGAACCGCCCATTCAAAGGATATTGCAAGACCCCTTGGAAAGGTCCTTCAGCAAGCAATCCCAATTTGCCGTGTTGGCAAATCAGGGAGGAAGAAAACGACGAGGACGAATGTGATGAAACTATAGTGATAACAGTGCAAGGAAAGCCGTTTACTGCTCTTTGACAAAGGTCACCAAAATATTGAACTTTATCTTACAAAATGTCCGTCATGCTTTAAGTCAAGCGCCCGTGCGAATTCGGAACGTGGACTATTCAACCCACGTTTATTCTTCGCAGTGAGAGCAACAAACTCGAAACAATATACGCCGCAAAACGTGTCCTGCGGGTGCGAAACGATAATAAAGCCACCCAGTCAACAACGGGGAAGAGGTGAGTGAGATTATCCTTTAAAAATGGCCCCAATATCATCAAATCCAAACACAATCTGTCCACATAGTGTATCACCCGTAAAAATGTGCGCTATTTAAAGAAAACTCTTCTCGCCAATGAGTCCCCATCTGGTAGACATGAAAAATAAACTAGCTCATCAAACACACGCTTTAAACAATGGCCATGAACTTGCCAAGTAAGCTGAACACGTCGAAACACTGTCATATTATGCGTGGGGTTCGGTTATGAGGTATGCAGAATAGCAAAGTTGCTGAGCAGTTGACGTACACCGTGACCACGTATTTACTGACTCGTCCATCAGCAAAAGTACTAAAACCCTGTATTTGTAACGCATACTTCTATGTGCAGCATGTTCTACAGTGGGTGCTATTCCTTTAGCTAGTAGGCTTGATAGCCCCCACTTGATCTCCCGGACTTCCTGCTTCTACTATCCTTGAAGCTTACACAGAAAAGCTGGCCGAAATAATTGCAGACTATCATTCTTGATCGCTTCTAATTGTCTACATTTCGCTGTCCGCTCATCTCCTCCTCCAAAAATTTGGGTTACTATTTGTCCTTGATTATACATTCACGGCGATCACCTGCGTGATATCCAGAAAACCGGCCGGGCGGTTCGTCCGTCTGACCATTCCTGAGCGCATTGACCAGACAGTCCCGGGGTAGAGACTTTGGGACGAGACAAACTAATGATTGGTGACCCTGACAAATATGGCCGGCACACAACTAATCCGGATCATGCATCCCGGCTATCGTCTTTACTGAGGAACTCTCTTTCTTCAGTGATCAGAGCGCGAATTTACTGGCCAGAAGAAAGCACAAGGGCTGGAATACTGCCAGGTTGTCCAAGCCTAGACAGGGAAAGTCGAGAGGCAGATGTCAGGCTCGAACCATGGGCCTTCCGGTTGGTAAATTTGCGCTCTAACCACTGAGTCATCTCGCCTTCTAGTACTATTAACAATCCAGTTGTTAGAAAAAACGAGACAGAGTGGCTGTAGTTTCTAAGCTAATACCAAACGGTTCGATTTTTCGGTTCAGTGTGGTTCAAGGATGGTGATTACAATACGCTTAATTTTACATTGTTACATTGTTATTCATCACGACCACGTGAATTTCGACGCATTCCTTAAAGATGTTACCTATCCAGCTGGTGGGAACCCAGCCATGCGTTACTAGCCGAGCTCTTCAATTGGGCATTTGAGTTGTGCAGAGCAAATCCGTTGCGAGGTCAGTCATGAGTTTGGAAGTTTCGCCTCCATTTCGATAAGAAAAACAGATGGTCGGTCACCTGAAAGCGCAAGCTACAATACTCTTGGCCCTGAGTATGCGCAGAGAAAATTTACAGAGATATCTGAAAGCCAATGAACAGCTCAAGTGAATCGTTGGCAGGTATAAAATTGTACATACAGTCGCCTAAAAGCCGAAGACCGAGCTAAGGCGGTCTAGCAATCTGAAGATCACTTACTGGTTGTTAAGTCGATGACAACCGAACTGGGGTTGGAACTGCTGAGCGCTGATTTCACGACAGCTGGATTTGAGGTCGGTCGCATGCTACTGGAACTAGAGGGATCAAACATGTTGAAGAAGGCCACTTTAGTACGCTTAGAGGTCTTCCCGGCCGCTGAGGACTGAACTGCACTTGGAACTGAATTGTCTGAAGGATTCGTGGAAGTTGTGACCGTAATAGGATCTCCTGTCGACGCGGATTGTGTATTGGCAGTTTGAGGATCAGTGAACGGAGGCGCCGGGTGGATTCGAGTTGATGTACTCACGGGTGGTTCACGCTGAGAAAGCGCAGTTAAACGAGATACACATAAAGCAGCAGGATACCACTTAATGCGTCATACCTGGTAGAGAAAACCTCACCGTTTCACAAGAAACAGTAAGCAGGTTAAGTCTGTAGCCCCATCACCCTTGTTTGAATAATCCTGTTAAACAAAGTGGGGTTGTCCTTGTTGGTCCATAAAAAAGAAGGGCTGGATCCATGTTACACTCCCAGTAGAACCCACCACCACCAGGATGTCCTCGGTAGTGCCAAGGGCTGAAATCTGGACTTGTGACAGGTCAGGCGAGCGTGTTACTACTACTCCCTAAGCGCAGCAGGGTGAACTTGATCTAGCAGTTGTGAAGAGACGGACACGGTCGACTGATGCCTCGGACGACAACCCATTAACTGCAACAGTTACGTTGACCGATCGACCCTCCTTCAAGAACTTCCCGACCAAGTGGCGCTAAAGACACTGGAAGACTACTGATCACTTGAGTAGCTAAAAAAATCTGCCAACAACCTACCTGGCTCCACTCTTATCGAAAAGCCGAAGTCTACTCAAATGCAAATCACGGGAACATTGAAAGCAGTGAGAGTAGAAATCCACTGAACTACTGTAGCCTCACGACAGGAAACTACACCACTCTTACGTTATATGGAAGCCCAACTATCGTGAGGGACGTCGCAGTTGGAAAACTCATATCTTATGTTTCTGGTCTGAATTCCTCAATTGTATCATCTGCTCAAATATTTCACCACTCTGGGCTACTGTTGATTTTATTCACTGCATTGTCTAGTGTGAAAACACCCCTGTGGAATGACTTCGAAGCAAGAGGGGCTTCATACTGCCCAATGTGAGTGATGCGTCCTTCTTCTGTAGGACTTTGATGTAACTAAGCACATAGGGGATCAGTGACAAGATCACATCATTTGGAGATCCATGTGACCAGTGTTCTTCCTCTCATATTACAGAGAAGACCGATTGACGGGATGAGTGGAAACGCAGGCAGACATGTGAGTTGTGCAGTCCGGACTCACTCCAATAAGGGTGAAATTAGGGTATGTACTGAAAATGATAGCGGTTGTGTTGGATGGACACCGGTCAAATGGGTGATTTGGGTAGAAAATCTATAAACCTCGTAATCAACATTGTCCAACAGGTTTGAAGCACTTGTGAGGTGAGATTCTTGATAGGTTGGCCGATCGATCAAGAAATCCAGGATTGTTATCGGGTCATCGTTCGAGCAGCCGAACAGACGCCCAAAGTAAGAATGTTTGTCTGTTTAGACCTGATAATTCATTTTCATCTAGCGTGCTACGGTAGAGCAGTGGTAAGAGGCTCGCTATGCATGTCGGAAGTCCAGAGTTCAAAATCCCGGCAACAACAGAAATATGCATTGTTGATGAGTTCCAATAGGAGCCAACTATCGCCCCCTGGCGTGGTCTGACAGGAATAACGAGGATTGCACAAACGAAGGTGATGTAGCTACAGATTTTAGTTTGCCTGCAAATGCTCACGGGTTTCCGTTTGTTGACACGTTAAAAACCTGATTAGTCAAATTTTAAACTATACAATGTATTCATATGAAAGTAATCATCGGTATCTGGTACTAATCTTATATTACAACCCGTTACTGGAAAATGTAGTTGAATTTCAGGGTCTGATTGGAAATTCCAGTTCAGAAACAAGGTGCTGAGGAGTCGAAAGGCACCAGTATGTGGAGATTCTCAGTCGGAAATTTGTTCGGTGAAGCTGATCCAAATGAAAAGGCCATAAACATCTGACTCAAGCTCGAAAGAAAATTGACGATGCCTATCATAATAATCATGAAGAGGAATTCGGTCCGGAACTAGTGATGGAAGAATCGACAGCGGATTACGGAACCAGTGAAAGTGCCTCGAACTGTTCGGTTTCCTACTTCCGTTCCCGGAAAGAACCTTTTGCGATAAACTTCGTAGTGTGGCGTTCTGTTACCGTGAGATAACACTTTCAGGAGGTGCCACGATTCCTCCTCGACGGATGGTCTTCTCGTGATGGAAGGGCGACTAGCGAACAGGAGTGTCACACATGCTTTTCAAAATGGGAAAATGAAGTAAATCGCAGCTCCCAAGGAGGGACCTTCCCTCACCGGAGAAAGACCACTTTCCGGGAAAGTTCGAAACAAACATTCTACGACAGAATTCTACTGGATTTCCTACATTTCTCCCTTCTTGCTAACCGGTTCATGATTGTGTTTCCCCAGGAGCGATGCTGCACCCATCCCTCTCCCACCCACACAGTGACGGCTTTGAACCTCAGGACCCACAAGCAAATGGAGTGGAAACATGCATTTGAAAATCCGGATGGCAATTTCAAATAACGGGATTTTGCAACGCCAGTCAACGCACCAATAAATCTCAAACCAATCAACTGAAGAGCTGGAAGATTCACACATAAATACAGACTTCCACGATTACTACATAATTGTTGAGCTTACACTAAGATTGCAAAGGACAATGTGCGGCTATAGTTCCTACAGGGGGCGAGATGGCTCAAGTGGTTACAGCGCGAATTTACTGACCAGAAGGTCCGTGGTTCGAACCCGGCCTCTGCCTCTCGACTTCTCCTGTCTGGGCTTAGGCTGCCTGATAGTATCCCAGCCTTCGTGCTCCCTTTGGGTGGCATGGCAGCTAGGCACCGAAAGGGTGTTACAGCTGAATACTTATCTTTATAGTCCCCAAATCTCTGCATTACTACCTACGGGTTATATTGAAGGTTGCCGGTATGCGAGAATGCTAGTAGCGAAAACGGCTCGTCAAAGCCCTGCAACAATGGGGAAAAGAATTCCATAGAAGAGTGAAACTAAACAGAAAAGGTGAAGACTTAGCGCAGAAAAGCCTTGTTCTTGGGGAAAAGATTGAGAACAATGTGTCTCCCACCTTCGGAGAGAGATGAAATGAATGCGTCTCAGTACCTTTCCCGAGTGAGTTACACTCAGTGGGGTTAGTCTAATTTCCCATACGAACCTTGGTCGATATAGGCTCGGTGCACAGCAACAGACAACAACTTGAATCAAGACAGTCCGGCTAGGAAGTGACATCACGACCTCCGCTGGGATCGTTTGAGTTCCGATTTCGCTGGGGTTTGCAGTCCCAAGCAAAGTGAATCATTTGAGTTTTAGCGACTATCATTTAACAGTGGTCGCTTACACTTTATGCTACCGTCTCGTGTAAACCTTCGCAAGAAAAGGTTTGAAATGGAACTCAAGGCTTAGTTTTGTAAGTGGTATTTGGGCATGTGTGGAAGATATCTCAACTAACTTAACCAGGTAAGGTTTATTTACTGCTCATGCGATTCATCAAGTACTTTCTTGCGTTGCAGAAACGTTGCAGTCGAGTAACTTCTCCTATGCTATGAAGTGTAAAGGTAAGTGAGTAGGTGTAAGTGTAAACGTAAAATTAACGCGAGACAGGGTGCCAGTGAGTAGTTTCCAATTCGAAGTAGATTTCGAGTGCATGTTTTCTTCCGCCAAGATTCAGACCCTTGGGCGTGTTGCATGTGACCTTGAAACTACCAGAACTTAATACGCAAGCTGGTAGATGGAAGAGGTAATGAAGACGTATTTCGTGTCATCGAACCGGGATGTTGGGAATCACCTCCAACTGGTTGCGCCAGTCCGCCTTCAAAGGGAACACGTGTGGATAACAGCCAGATCGAATGACCAGTGGCCAAAACAGTGTGAATCAAAATGGCTGACAAGAAAAGATTTAAAAAATGTCTACAAAATCTTGAATGTGAAGTTTAACGAAAAGGGGACCAAGACAGCAACAATCGAATACCGAATGAACATCCCCCAGCGCAGGTCAAATCAGCAACTTTTTGATGCTCGAGTGTCAAAAGGCTCTTAAGAAACCAAAACTGCTCAGGTCTTGACCGAAGCAATCAACAGCTTAGGGACGGAAGCTTAATGACAGACTCACACGACCAGAAAACAGTGTTTTAACCGATACTTTGTGTGAATTTTGATGTGAGCAGGTGAAAATGGAACAAAGGGTCTAGTAGTGGGAAGAATTTTATAAGCTTCCTAGCCAGGCTGGCGAAAAGTAAACCAACCTCTGGTGTATCCGAACGACTACTGTCTCTCGGCTCCCGCAACGCCTCTGCGATGGTCATACGTGAAACTGCTGCCTCGTTCTCACAGGCATCTTTGTACATTTTCCGAAGACGTTCCTGATCGCCAGGTTTTTTTGAATGAACCAAACGCAATGCCTTGATCAACCAGCCCTCCAGAATTGGGGTGGCCGAATGAGTGAATGACTGTCCAGAAGACATGGCTATAGTAGAAATTACGCAGGATTTTTAAGAGTCTTATGAAGTACACCACTAGAACACAGAAAAACAGTTTGATACAAGGTATATTGACGAAGTTAACAAAGAGGTGCGTGAAAAAAACGAGTGAAATAGCAGGAATCACAGTCAGAACACATAATGAAGTAGTTAGTCTTCGCCGGCAACCACCTCCTTGATTCGCCGAATAAATTTTACACGAATCTCGTTGAACTGGTCACCGCGAAGTTGATCCTGCACAAATCTGGCATCCACTTCCAACTGGACCTGGAAAACCATAAAGAGAAAGTAAATGTTTTTGGGTGTTGGGACGGACAGAGCAGCGAACTTTGAGTATTGAAGAGATTTCCAAGTACAGATCTACATTCCACCGAGCAGCTGAAGTCAATCTAGCCTGCAAACCCCATAAGGATTGCATAGTTGTTTCGTCCCCCTTTCGACCAACTGTCAGCCCCATTTGTTTCTTGGTCGAAGTGTAACTGCTTCGGCGGGCAACATTTGTGCTGCTAACCAACAGTAGACACTTTTCGACAGGTGCTCATTCTGTGTTGGGCAAAAGATTTTGTTAATCTTGGGTCTAACTGAAGGTATCTGAACTGCACAACTGAGAGTAATCTTTCAGAACCAGTAAACACAGCGACGACTCAACTGAATCAGTTGAGTTCTCTTATTCACTGTTAACCAGTTAGCTTGCGATGTCTCAGAATCCCAGTGGTTATCGTGGATAGAAAGGCAGATGGTGAATGAAGATAAATTGTTAATTAACACTGAGGGAATTAAACAGTTAGCTTCCAATAGGTCTCCAACCGGTCGTCCAAAGCGATTGCCATTCTGTGAGAATCTTTTGGATGTCCTCAAAACCTAGCTAGGTAATCGTTTACACAATCGAATTCTGTTTTATCACATTAACTACACTATTTGAGGCTAAGTTCGTTGAAAACCGTTGTCCACAAGCAGATCTCACATTGACCTATTGTGCGGAAAATGGCCGTGTTAATTTGTGCACGGTGTAGTCTAATGCAACCGTTTCCCGTGATGTCTTTGGGGCCGCTTCATATCTTAAGAACTCTCAGATGCCTGAAGTCTTTCGTTTGCCTCGCAGTGGTACTAGCCGACTTGCTAACAGGTAAGGACAAGAATGAAAAGGAGTCCTGAACGTTTGGCACTAAGAATACAAACCGCGTTCTGCAGGTTGCTCCGTATACAGTTATATAAAACCTAGGTTCTAGGGGACCGCGTACTGTGAAGTGACCGAAAGTTATCGATATAAGCATATGCAGATAAACACAATAGAAGGAACCCAGAAATGGAAGCGATTTCAGCGAAGGAAAGGGGCAGTGACACAACCTTCGGAAAGCACTGAAACTTTTAACGGTGTCCAAGGCGATGCTCATTTTACGTGATTCGGCTGTACAGCTGTTTGGTTACTTGGATTCAAACATGTAAAGAACACCTCACTCTTGAATTCAATCGGTCCACAAAGACCCAGTTAGACTGGCTGATCAAGGCATTAACGCCTCTTCAGCGTTGAAATACCAGAGGCCGCGAAGAACCTACGGAACATGAAAACTTTAGGAAAGATGGAGAATCATTGCAAGTTCATCCCCATTTAAAAAATGTAAAAGGTATTTCAGATCCATTGAGACAACTGTTATCATCTCTTGCCGAGAGGTTAAAAAATGATACGGTTACACTGTGTGGTATCAGTTGGGCCTTCACCGCATTTGACCCGAATTGTTCTTCAGTTATGATGAAGACAAACTTGGGTCGAGGTGGTTTCCGTTGGGAACTCAAATATTACAGTCTCACTGCAATCTGTACAGGCTCCAATAGTCCACCGTAGAATGTTTGAACATACATTGAAAAGCTCTAATTTCGTAGTCATACTAACTCTCGACACAAGGCCACGTCACCCGTATAGTGCTAGGCCAGCGTTCCACCAGCTGAAAACGGTAAACAGGGAGTCAGATATTTTTGGCTAGCATCCACATAGCTTCAACGTCAATTATACGGATGGCACAAGACCATGAACAAAACGAAGGCAACCACCTAGCCATTGGTGGAAACGACGTCTTTAAGTCTGTCAGGCAAAATGGGTGTGCGTCACAGAACCCCGCATTAGATGACATTTTCCAATATCGCAATCTAACCACTCACAGAGGAATACATGATATACATGACATACGTCAAAAATGAACCCATTCCGTCCGATCTCATAGTGCCCGGAGAAGTGGACCGCGACGTTCAATGGACAACTTGTTACTACAGTAGAGCCTCAAGACGGACCCCTTGGAGGGAAGCGCTATAATGGTGTTCACCAAAGTTCTGTGCTGAAGTTCCCCAGGGCGAATCACATTCAGGCGAGGCTATAGTACCCCATTGCCCATTGCATTAGCTCTTCGGGGTGGGTACCCCAGTGACACAATGTTAATCAAATATTCAAAGACAAACTTACATTATGAAGAGCCCCTCGGATAGCACCGGCCAAAACATTTGAATAGAGAAGTTTTGGATGCTCTGGAGGAAGATCAACGAACTCTGTCAGAGGGTTTGTATCCAAAGTGATGGAAAACTCGTCCCCAGTTGCGCTGAATTTGCTCACGTTTGGAGTAATTCCCAAAAATAGCTTGAATCCCTAGAAGGGCAACGGAAATCGGTAGCATGTGACATTGGTTATGACAACGGTCCGTCTGCCAACGTCTGTGAAGCGGTCACACAAGGGGGAAATTTGCCAATGTCTGTTTGTCGTGTCTGCTTACGCCCCAACCGACTTTACCTCTGACGCCATCGAAGAAAAGTCCTATGACTCCCTGAATACCTTGTTTCGGCGAGCTAAAAGTTCAGATATTGTGGTGTTTGCTGGAGATCTGAATGTACAAGTGGGCAGGCTTAGTGCATGTGAGATACAACTAAGTGGCAGACCGTCACGAAGAGACTGAAAATTACCGTGGTGTGATGGTTTGCGCACCTCATCGACCGATTGAGGGATACTGGGGAGTGTCTCCGCGACACCCACAGGGTCTCTCGTACCAGGTTGGCCAGTGGCTAGAGGTCTGACGAACACGGTCTTCAGGCTGGGGGTTGGAACATGTGGAGACTTGTTCCGTAGAAGTGGTAACACATTTGCATTTCCCGCCAAACACCGCTGTCTTGCGGTTAGGCTTTTGACCCAAAGGCTTTGGACTCTAATCTCCCTCCTGTCTACGTGTGGGTGCCCTGACAGTATCCCAGTCCACGTACAATAGGGCAGCAAAGCATCGGTGTTGGACACTGACGTCATGTTGTCGATGATGATGAAGTGGTAGACATTGATTGGACTCAGCAGGAAATGACAATAGTGAAAAATTGCTTCAGCTGTGGTGACCGCAGGCTGTTTTTATGCAATACTAACCTCCAATATAGCGTAAGTCGTCTGGCCACACGGCGTCTTCCAACGGCGTGCCGGCTACGAACTCAAATTGATTACATTACAAATAGCTAAGGATGGTGCGGATCAATAGGTGACTGCTGCTCGTTTTGGAACACATTTGTGGATTCCTACCATGCGCTCGTCTGGACTGCTTCCTGTCTTCGTTCTCCAGGGCCACGCAGGGCGCGGAATCACTTGGCAACTGAGAGGCTAGCAGATCCAGATGTTAGACGAATTTATCAGAATCGCATTCTAGAGTCCCTTCCAAGTGCTCCACCACCAGATGTGAATTCATACTGGGACGAGATTGCTACCTGTTTGCAGCGCTGGGAGTTTCGCCTGTGGTACGGCACTGCCAGGCTCACCCAAACACTAGATATCAAACCGAGCAGTCGCACTCCTTAAACCTTGAAGACCCCTTCAGTCCCGAACATAACTTGATGCGACGAATTATCAGACGTAGTGAGTGTGCGAGCTAACTGTGAAGTCTGGTGGACACGGAAAGCCAAGGAAATAGAAAGGGCCAGAAAGTCGGAAATGCCCAAAGGGTATTTCATTCGCTTCGTGCAATCGCTCTCCGGAAACGGCCCGTGAGCGAAACCCTGAATGGAGTGACCATTTTGAAGAACCCCTCGACGGGGTGGGTGGAATATCTCAACAAGTTATCGTGGCCACCAGCTACAAATCATCTGGGGCCAACAGCTGACGTAGAACCCTCGACTGTGAACGTAGAACCGCCTGTGGCCTCGGAGGTTTATGATTTCATGTATTCTCCTAAGAACCATCGAGCATCTAGCCCAGATGACCTCCCAGTGGCATTGTTCAAAGATGGGGGTGAAGTCCTCCGTCAGCGCTTGTTTGCTTGCATTCGGGAAAAGGAATCCGTCCCAGACAACTGGGAAGAGTCGGTGATAGTGTTCATTTCCGAAAAAAGGACTCGTAGTGAGTGTGAAAACCACAGGAGGATTAGCTCGACCACGGTCGTGACGAGAGTGTTGGCGTCAAATGTTCAAATGTGCTTCTTCGCCTTACGGTGGCTCGTGAATCACTGACTCGAGAGAAACAAGTGGGGTTCCGGCCTGGTATGGATTGTGCTAACCAAATCTCCACACTCCGTCAAGTGCTAGAACAATGCCATACGTATAAGCGACCCGCAATTCTAGTATTCCTGGATTTACGAGGCGCACTCGACTCGGTTGATCAGTCTGCTCTTTATAACACGCTTGTCCATCAAGGAACGCCTAGGAAGTGTGAACATTATGAGTTCTCTGTATTCTCAGGCTTCCGGACTTGTGGGACTATAAGATCTCCCAAAGCTTCCGTACACAAAGCGGTATTCGTCAGGGGTGCCTTCCCTTCATTATCATTTCATTTCGTGATCGATGAGATAATGAAACGAACGCTGGAAAGTCTTCAAAAACGCTGCTGTTCAAATAGCACAAATGCACACGTACTTCAAGGATCACGTCAGGCTAAAGCAGATAGTACAGTTGAGGAACACAAGGTGAGGACTCATCGTCAACATCACTTTTATCCTGTATCGTTGAGACCCATCTGTATACAATTCGTATTGGCGATCTTCCAATTTAGGTACTAAGAAGGAAAGAGATAATTCATCGAGCTTTATTAAAGCGATTGATCATCTGATAAAAAAGTTGGTGTATGGAACATCATCACTGAGTTCCTCCGAATGCTTTCACTAGTTTACTTCCCTTCTGATTCAACAGGAGTTGACAATCTGATCAACTTGGTAGCGCGGAAAAAACTGATCGTTTGATAGCCCTTCCAATACAATAAGAGAGGCATACATCTTAATTCCACTTTTCAAGCAATTCGGTATCCGCAGAAATGTGTGATAAGTTTGGTGGAGTCCTAGAAGAGGAACCCGATCGATGACATGAAAATACTTTATAGACAGTGAGATTTTGAATCTCCCAATAAGGGGGTTATGCTGCAAATAAAGTTTAACTATGCTTAGAAGCTTATAAACACTGTACAGCTGCTTCATGCTTGCTATCCGGAATAAGTGTCGCGATCCAGACCTCTAGGCGCCTTCAGGTGCGAGTTGAACATCACTATACAGCTGCTGACAGCTCATCAGCAGTGTGATTAGCTCAGGGAGGTAGCAAATTAAACAGAGAAATGAGATACTGTCAGTTTACTCAAACCAAGGCAATGGCAATCGATATATATGGAAGAGACAAGAAGGGCTATTCGGTCGGCCTAAAATCCGAATGATAAAATCTAAAAGCCTCCATTTTCGAAACCGTTGCCCATGTTTCAACCCGAAGATGTATGCAATGGAAAATAAATATAGAATGGTTACAGAAGTGAGAACTGGAATAGTACAATCAAGTGAATTAGATAGCTGCAGAGATTTCCCCTACACCACAACATGCGATAAAAGCATATCTGGTAGACAAAATATTACGTTGAAAATAAAACGGTACATGAAATAGTGATCGTTCAGACAGAATGGCTGTTTGCAGGGCTGCGCTATAATCGCATCATATCACATGAGGCTCCACGTGAGACCAAAAAATAACGTGAAAGTTCGTACGAAAGTCAGTGTGAATAGGTCGAAGTTCGTTATGATACGACGGTTCATGCAATGAGCCGAGAGGATATAATGGGGAATCGAAACATAGTGCGTTCGCTACATACTTCCGGAGAGCGCACGGAGTACGTCATACACCGGGCATAGTGCACACCTCAAAACATGTGACAAAACACACCTCGTAACAGAAGTGTCAACAGCCTATCACACCATGTTGGGTGTTCGAGTGAATTCCGACAAGTGGTATTTGGTCCTAGGAGCTAGGAACTGAGATAGACATACAAATTTATACCTTAAAAGTTGAGATACTAAAGCACTTCGCAGTTAAACGCCGTTTTATTGTAGCCAGATTCATGAGCCAAAGGTCTTAGTTGAGGACCCCAAACATGCGCGTATCAAACCCTCATACAACACTGAAAACCACTGATGTACGGTAGCCTCGACGCTGCTCTGCTACTATCTGAGATGACGATGAGGAATGCATCATGACAGTGATGCATCAGCACAGGGAGGATATCAACAAGAGATGCATACCTTCACCAGCGCAGCAGCGGTTTCCTTGAAGTCCGCACAACGTCCAGGATTTCCACGAGCTAAATAATCTTCAACAATGCGAAGTCCAATATTAAAGCCTCTGTAAAAAAAATAAGCGCTTTGTCATGTAGAGCATGTACATTTTATCCAGCTGATCATTAATTTCCGAATCCGTTTCGAAATCTTTCGCAATGGTCGCTACTAGTGAGCCGTAAGTAAGAGCAAACAACTCAGCCGTCTAAAATTGTGTTAATCGATTTTAGCCATGGACTTACAACTCGCTTGGATTCCGCCGGTCTCGAGGCCTGACGTGACATGGAGGGCGTATGTGGCCAAGTTCAAAAGTTTCAAAACACCGGCGTCTGAAACGTTGAAAAATAGGTCAGTATTTGTCGAGTTAAATCAAATCGATCAGCTGTGGTGTCCTGCCACCACATTGCCGAAGCACAGCGGTGGGGATACCTTCACGCTAACCCAACCTACAACTGATTCAAACCAAGAATCTTTCACTTAGGCCCAAGTGTCTAAACCACTTGTTTACCTTGATTTTTATTCCTCAAAATCGTCAGATCACAGGGAAAATTAGTCCAGAATCTTAAATGAGATTAACACTATATCTTCACCAATCAGTTCTTAGCAGCACTTTTCTTCTCAATGTCTCAGGGTTAGGCGAAGTTCCACGCCGATACTGCTTTACTACTAGCAGGTCCTAGCACTAGAACTTACAGTTTAGAACGCCGTGCATCGCACTCAGCTGCAGTCTCTGTAGTCCGATTTCAATAACAACCCTGGACACTCTGAGGTCTATTTTTAAACGCAGAAAGTCTGCCTACCTAGCCACCGTCGATGTTCACGCACTGAAGCAAGCAGGACAACAGGCAGCTCTTGCTCGTACGCTGGATGCTCTCCGCATTGATGTGTGCTGCCTGTCAGGAACAAGGATACAGGACGCGAGTATTGTAAGCGAACTGACTAACCCCCCCCCCCCGCTCTCATTCCGGTTCTGGATGCGCACCTCTGGTGATGCAGACGCCGTTGCAGCTCGATATGCTGGAGCGGGTACTGTATTGAGGGACCAAACCGAAGCGTCCCTATTTGGTTGGATACCTGTTGGGAATCACCTTCACGCTGCTGGTCTGCCAATGTCTGCGAGAATGAAGTCCATCATACGCTGTTTATTGTGTCTGCATACGCCCCCAGCGGATTGCAGCTCTGAATCTTACAGCGACCATTCCTATGACAATCTAGGTGCTCTTTTACAAAAGGCTACCAGCCCATATATATTTGTGGTTGGTTGTGACATGAACAACTAGGTAGGTAGACTAAGCGCTGCTGAGGCCCAAACGGGTGGCCATCGTGGGTTGGATACGAGGCGCACGGACAACGGAAATCGTTTACTTCAGATGTGTCGACAAAAGGCTGTTCTTTTGCAGTACGAATTTCCGGAACATCGGAAATCGCTTGACAATGTGGTGCCCACGAACGGACCAGCCCCGAATCCAACTGGACCACATTGCCATCAGTGATGAGCGGCGATGGTCGATCAACACCTGCCGCTCCTTGTGGAACACCAGCCCGGAATCCGATCATTCACTCGTACGCTGCTGCTGTACGCCGGCAGAACGGTCCGATGTCAGATATAAACGGCATTACTCAGAGCCGGAATTTCTGTGTGCCGGCCAGCCAACCCCATTCAAACATTAGATCTATGATATGACAATGTCTTCGCTGGAGGTGCGGCGATAGACTAGCCGTGGCTCAAACCATAACTCCACCCGACGCATCATCCGACGACAGGTGAAACTGAGTGCCCCTGCAGACCGAGAAGCTTGGTGGACTCGAAAAGCCAAAGAAATGGAAGAGGCTAAAATGCTGAAGGCGTTAGCAAGCTGTTTCACTTGGTTTGCTCGACTGGTTCTCTGAAGCCACTTGTCAGCGAAATTAACAGGGACCGAAATGGCTCCATGATACCCAAGAAAGAAGAGTGTTTGGACCGATGGGCTTGTTGTTATTGTTGATAGGCGCCTCTGCGCGGTTCGTCCGGCAACGTCTGTGAAGGAGCCTCACAAGGGGAAGTTGATCGACGTCTGCTTATCGTGTATGCTTACGCCCCAACTGACTGTAGCTCCGAGGCCGTTTAAGACAGGTTTCACAATTGTCTGAGTGCCCTGTTGTGGAGAGCTCGGATATCCTTGTGATTGCCGGAGATATGAATGCACAAGTATGCAGGCTTAGTGCATCTGAGGCTCAAATATGAAGTCTATGTGGATTGGACCCGGTAAGTACGGACAATTGTGAACAGTTGATTCAGCTGTGTGCTGGTCGCAGGCTGTTTTTATGCAGCACTAACTTCCGAAATAGCCAAAGTCTGGCCACATGGTGTCCTCCAACGGTGTGCCAGTCACAAATCGATCACACTGCCATCAGTTACCGATGGCACGGATCAATAACATTGCCGGTCGTTTTGGAACACATTTGAGGATTCCGACTGCGCTCTCATCCGGAGTCGCTTCTCCCCACGTTTTCCAGGGACGCATAAGGTGCAGACAAATCGCTTGGCAACCAAGAGGCTAGCAGATCCGGATGTTAGACGAATTTACTGAAATTGCCTTCTAGAGTCTCTTTCAAATGCTCCACCATCAGGTGTGAACTCATAGTGGGACGAGATTGCAACCTCTTTGCATAGTGCTGGGACTTTTGCCTGTGACGCGGCACTACCAGGCGCATCCGAGCACTGGATATCAGACCTACCAATGGCACTGCTCAGGTCGCGGAGAAATATACCAGCCGGTCCCGAACATAACCCGGCGCGACGAATTATCAGACGTCAAGTGGAAGTGAGCGTGCGAGCCGACCGTGAAGTGTAGTGGACACAAAAAGCCAAGGAAATGGGACAGGCCCAGAAAGCCGGTAATGTCCGATGAGTACTTCAGTTGATCCGTGCGACCGCCTCCCGGAAGCCACCTGAGAACGAAGCCATATAGCACCAGAATGGAATGATCACCTCCAATAAAGAACGACTAGACCGGTGGGCTGAATACTTCGAACAACAACTGTCGTAGCCACCAGCTGGCACCCATCTGAAACCCACAAGTGATGGCGAACGTTGAACCGTCTACGGCTTCGGAGGTCAAAGACTGCATATGTTCTCTTATGCGCCACCGAGACTCCGGACCAGATGAACTCTCACCCGCAGTGTTCAAAGAAAGGGTGAAGTCCTCCGTCAGCACTTGTCTGATCTGTTTGCTTGTATTTGGGGAAAAAGTCTGTCCCAGACAACTGGGGAGAGTCGGTGATAGTGTCTATTTTCGAAAAAGTGGATCGTAATGAGTGTGACAACCACAGGGGGATTAGCTCGACCACGGTCGTAACAAGTGTTGGAGTCAATAGCACCCCATCGCCTTACAATTGCTCGTGAGATACTGACTCGAGAGCAACAAGCGGGATTCTAACCTGGTAGGGGTTGCGTTGATCAAACCTTCATACTCTGTCAGGTGCTAGAACAACACCATGCGTATGAGCGACCCACCATTCTAGTATTCCTGGATTTCCGAGGCGCATTCGACTCATTTGATTGATCTGTTCTTCTAGACATGCTTGCCCATGAAGGAATGCCCCGGAAGTTTGTGAATATAATACGTTCTTTGTGCTCTCGGACTTCCGGACGTGTGAGTGTACATGGAGAGTTCTCCAAAGGCTTGCGTACACAAAGCAGTGTCCGTCAGGGATGCCCACTCTCTCCATTCCTTTTTAACTTCGTGATCGATGGGATCATAAGACGAACGTTGAAAGGTCTCCGAAACCCTGGTGTTCAAATAGGCTGTGAATAAAACCTTGTCGATCTGGAGTACGCAGACGGAATCGTTCTCATCTTTGAAGAGAAGGCGCGGGTGTTTTTCGGTGAACTAACAAAAGTCATCCTGTTCTCTGATATGCACTTCGCACCACAAAGAGTAAGGTCATGCTCGCGTACGTGCAGTCCCTGAATTCGTCACTTACAATCCAGGGAGAGGTACTGGACATTTTGGAGCGTTTCAGGGATCTTGAAAGTTGCATTAGTTCTGATTGTAGTGTGACAGATGAGCTGAATGCACGAATCTGAAAGGCCCGGATCGCGTTTGCTAACACTTCAAGTTTCAAGTGTTACGTGATCTATGTGTGGATATTCTACTATGGCAATATTTTCTTAAGCTTCAAAAACCCCTTAAAATCTCGTTCATTTCATGACGTAAGCCAGCTGCCCTAAAGTCCAGGCAACATTCTACAGACGACGATGCCCTCGTTGATTCTGAAGTAAAGCGCTTACTCAGAAAACAAAGCATTGAACCTTTGAAGTCTCCATAGTGAGCGAAAGTGTTTGTCACGACAAATAAGCGGAAGAAGTTGCTGACCATAGTCAAACTATAAACCGATGTACACAAATGGGCGCCTATCTGATCCCCAAACTTGGGGATATGAGTAGTAAAATAACTCAATTTCTCGTTTTTCAGCACGCCTGATCTTGAAAACGCGCATCATCAAATACTCATTAAGGAAAGTGACAGAATCTAAACGACTTTTGAGGCTTGCACCAATCTTTATCAGTTTTGCCGAATACCTTTCGGAGTAAGTAAAGAAGTAGCATGCTTTCCAACGGTAATGGATGACAATACACGCGGAAAAACCTATCGGGACATATGCCTACCATGTCATCATTTGTGGAAGGAATCTAGAAGAACACGATCGAAATCTCCAGCGTTTTCCCGCCGAAGCACAAAAGTGCGGCCTTCAGTTGAATCACGAGAAAAGCACAATTTCCTTCACTGAACTCAGCCTACTTGACTATAAAGTTACCGAAGGTATCATCAAACCAGAACCTGAACGTTTCATGGTTTCGCAGTAACTCCCCGATCTGAAGGACATGAAGACTGAATAACCTGTAGTTGGCTTGTTTACGTACTACTCTCGCTGAATAAGCCGTTTCTCCGATAAAATTTACCCAATCACTCATAATACAACCTTTTCAGTCCCTGGGCCTGTTACAAAAGCGTATAAGAGATGGTAGATGCAGTCGTGGTCACTATCGATCCGAGAATACCTTTGATACTCGAAACATGCGTCTGGTGTTCCGGTTTCTGCTACACTCAACCAATATAGCAGACTCGTTGCGTTCATGTATTCGACAACAACAAAAAATGACAAAATCCAACGATGTTGGGTGGAGTTATCGTCTTTTCTTTTGACGTAGCCTATAGACCATGCATCAAAAACAGAGCTTCTGACGCTGTCTAGGAGTGTCTGTGCGAATACTTCATCTCAGCTGGATCTAAGACGCATACAAGCAACTCTGGTGCTCGTTGGTTTGTTCGCTGAACTGGGCAATTTG